AAAGAGGGGGAGGTGAGGAGAGAGAGATGGCCAGGTGGGATGGGGGTAGGGAGAGGAGAGAGATGCACGGGACTAGTAGTCCCGTGCACTTCAACAAAAATTCTTCGTAGCAAAATCGACCAAAAAAGGTCAATTTTGCCAATTATTTTCTTGAATAGTCGATTTTGCCAATTAATATTAAAATAGTTGTTTTTAAAAATTTGTCCTTTTATATTCTAACACGCCCTACCGTTTATGGTAGAAAACTGGACTTACTCAATGGTATCAATTTTTTAAAAATCCGCTTAGAAATTGATGTCCAGCAAAATTCGAACTTGGATTGCTCTAATACAAAGTCTCTGTCACTTTTCCCAAACTCGGAGGTTATGTTGGTGGTTAAGAGTTGTAATTTTATATTCTAGCAAGCAGAATTTGCAAATGGTCATCGCTGCCAATATCAACAACGACCATGTTGAGAACAACCTGAAAAAATTATCCAAGATCTATATTGAGAAAACTAGCATCCAAAATTTTAAAAACTCAATATCCACTCAAAATACATTATTACCACCATGGAGCACTTGCACAACAAGGAAAAGGACAGAATGGGGATCTCTAATCTTCTTTCATTGACTCGTAAATCAAGCCCCATTTGGCTATTGTAGCCGTAGGTCCTAATTCCTTGTGTCAATAGATAGTTCCTAATTAATCATCCCCCTCAATAAACCTTTTCCTGCATTTCCATCCAAAGGTTCTGTTGCATATGGGCTGGAATTAGATCTTATTATGTTTTCAAGGTTGCAAAATTGCTAAAACATTATATGTAATTTAGTGTTCTATAATATCGTCTGCATCTGCTGGCAAGTTGGAAGTGTACTTACAATAGTCATACTAAATGTTTACCTCCGCAGTTTCAATTTATTATGAAAAGATGAGTAGAGTTCCCCATCTATCCCAAACTGTGTCTCTAATCTTTTGTTAATTAACAGATTTTAAAGTTTAATCATTTGAGTCTGAGAAAAGAAGTACAGTAGAATTTTGCGTTTGACATTAAGAATACCGTCAAATAGACGGATTCCAAAGCAGGTAAGGAGACAAACCCGTAGTAAAGGCAATATCTCCCAAGGTTTTTTTTCTGGCTACTTTTATGTTTAAGCTTAATGCAATTTCATGAATGGATTTATATAAGCATGAAAATAGTTTGATATTCTGAAGAGTATCTCAAAATGTCATCAATTCTACTAGAGATAAAAGCTAAAACTGAAAGATATTCTCCAAGCTGTATGCAGGAACATGTGCTCATTATGACTGTACATTAATATAGATAATTGCATTACGAATGTTGTTTAGATTTCTATATAGTGTCTTTGTTGAGATGTCCACTTGTGCCCAGTCAAATAACTTTATTTTATCCTTTGGCATATATGCCTGCCTAATCTTCCTCTCTCTTAGTGTGTGGAATCTGATGTTGTTTGCCTTATTGTGTATAAACTTGATCCTATATGAAAAGTTAACTGATATTTCATGTATTAAGGACAGGATCATGCACTGCTATCTTTTAATCCAATATTCTGTTGTATAATCAAAATTTATCTGTTAATATGCCTGCTTTCTAAATTCTAATTGTACGCTTACATGCTGTTAATGCACTCTTATCAAAGAAGTTGGTAACATCGGATTTATTCTTTATAACACAGGATGAGCTTAAAGATAATTCTCCAAGCTGTATGTGCAGGAACATGTGCTTAGTATGACTATACATTAACTATAGCTAATTGCATTGTGGATGCTCTTTAGATTTCTAGATAATGTCTTGGCTTTTTCTGCAGTAATCATGCATCCTTTTGTTTGATATGCTTAGACAATTTCCTTTTGCGGGTGTTTGAGATGCACACTTGCTCATTGTGCCCTTAAAAATATTTTTCTTTTATCCTTTGGCATATGTGCCTGGCTAATACTAAAATGTGGCACCTGATGTTGTACGCCTTATTGTGTATAAACTTGGTCCGATATGTAAAGCTAACTGATATTTCATGCATTAAGGACAGGATCATGCAGTACTATCTTTTAATCCAATATTTTGTTGTACAATCAAAGTTTATCTATTAATCCATCTGCTTTTATTTGTACGCTCACATGCTGTTAATGCATTCTTGTCAAAGAAGTTGGTACCATCAGATTTATTCTATTAATGCAGGATGAGCTTTTTATACTGAGATTATCGCGCAACAGTGGAGTCCTTGGGTTGGCAGGCATGGCGTTTATCTCACAACTATTTTCAACATATTCACATTACTCAGAAGGAAACCAAGGAATTCTCCTTGTGCGACCAATGCTAGAACTTTCAAAAGATGATATGTACAAAGTGAGTATATTCATTCCTTAAGATGTTTGCATAAGCGTATCGTGTCTATTTTATGGTGTGAATGATTTGAGTGCAAGTCATTCTGGTTAAATAATTCTGCAATATCTATGATCTATGGATGTAAGCTATTGTTATTGGGGTGGGGTGGAGATAGTGATTGGCAATGACTTGGGGAAGCCTTATGTTGAAAGCAGCATTTTTCTGTTTAATTGTGTGCAAATGTCACAGTATATATTTTTATTAATAAAAGCATATCTTCTTACACTGTGATTTATGTATTTTAAATCTACTTTATGTACACATTGTTTTTGTCTTGACATGTAAAACTTTTTCCATACTGTTCTCTTTAGAGTTCAAGTACTCTACATGACTAGTCTGATACGAGATGAAGATTTTTCTAATGGAAATAATTTAGGGTTTTTGCCAGTATAATCCCCAAAATCTACCATATTTGCGGACTGACCCCCAAATCTGCATATTGCTTTTTTACCCCTAAATTTTACCACATTGGAATTTCATAAACCCCTCCCCCTCCTCCGATTTAACATCACTAAAATTCATTAACGTGAATTAGTTAAAACGCATATTTTGGGGTAAATCTGCAACCAGGCTTTTTTTAGAAGCGGGGAGTTAATAGGCAAAATCCTTATTTTTTTAGGAAGAGGGGTATCTTTTTACAATCTTCCCCCATCTTAGTTTGAAATTTATCAGTGTGAAATTGAGGGTTTTTTTTTAACTCAATGGGGATAAATTTGCATATATTCAGGTTTTCTGGAGGGGATAGGGGGATAAATCTTCCAATATGATTGATTTGGGGTGTTTAAGCAAAAACTCAATAATTTATTGCACTCCTTCACTTAATTAGTCCTTGTCAGATTGTAAACATCATGTAATTCAATTCACGATATTCTTCTGTATGTTTTTGTTCATAACGGTAAGTCTGTCATGGCGAGGAGTATCCTTCTCTCCTTCAATGGGGTTAAGACTATACATATGTGGCTCAAATTCAAAAGCCAAAAATGAAATCATATATTTTCATTGTATGTAAATCATGTACTTTGAATGGCATTCTTATAATGTTTATTTTTGTATGCAAAATATCAGGCATAAACCTCAATATTGTTGAAAACGTCTGTTTGCTTTTGGGCCATAAGGTATGTTGAGGGTTTAGAGAAATGGATACAAGTGAAGGAGACTCATCCAAATCCGACATGACACTGGTGGAGGAACTCTATACCCTGTGGATAGATGTTGTGTGCACCAATTATATACCCTAAATTCTACAATTAATGTCGAGGCTTGTCTCATATTATAATAGTCTAGCTACATGTCTAGATGCCCTCGACTCCTTTTCTATTAGGTACTTGTCATTTTGATGCCACTTATCATTTTGAACTCTTTCGTGCTAAAGTGATGGTTAAATAAGGGGCTTATGAAGCGTCATGATTTGGGAATGCAATTCTATCACCTGCACCTTGGAATCTTCCTCATGTTACTTCATGTAAGTTAGAAACTCATCTAAAGTTAACATTAATAATGAAGGTGCTAAAGGTCATGGGTCACTATATGCTTGCAAAGTCATGTCACACTTTCTCCAAGTTGCCATTTATCTAGCTTATTTTGTCATTCTACCAGTGTATGTCCTGCATGCCTAGCTTGGTTCTTTTGCTCAGTGTATGAGTCTTCGGTGCAGATCTGTAAAGGGGGATATCAAGAATGGGTGGAGGATCCTACAAACCAGCGCCCATTGTTTGCTCGTAATCGGTTGCGTATGTCACTAAAGAACATATCATCAAGTAAGTTATCTTTAAATAGATTGTTCTGATGTCTACTTGTGGCTTCTTACCTGCCGCTTAAATAAACTTTCTTCCCTCTTTTTCCAATATCAACTACTTTGCTGTACTAAAAGAGCTTTCTACTGCATATTCAATATGTTGATTCAGCTTTGTTTCTTTCGATATCCAGATGCCTTTAAATCAGAAATGCAAAGACTTATTTCTGCTTGTCGCATAACACGTTCATTTATTGAAAATGTTTGCCGCAAGATGATTGAGCACTGTGTCACCATTACTGATGTAAGCTATTTGTATTGTTTGTTTCCTTTTGAATTTCCTTTTTGCTCTGTTTGAATTTCCTAATTCAATTATGTCATATGACTAATTTCATAGAATACGTGACAGACATTGCATAATTAAACTATTGACTAGATAAGATCTGATATGTCCTGATATAGGAAGAATAGTATAATAGTTGACCTAGGACGGGGAAAAGATATATGCTGTGGACACCATATGCTGGTTCCATATATATATATATATAATATATATATATATATATATATATATATATATCATATATGAGATTTATTAGAAATAGGTATGCTTGCTTGGTACTAAGCAGAAGTTTTTATAACTATGGTAGTGATGTGGCATATTCCCCTCCAATTATTGAAATCGGACCCAGCATTCACATGGGTTGGAAATTGAATGAGTGGAATGGGATATAGGAATACCTTACTACCGAAGCACAAAATTTATGTCTTGGTGAACCGAAGCATACTCATTTTTTCTATATATATATATATGATATATATATATATATATATATATATATATATATATATAATATATATATGAAGGAATGTTTTCCTAAAGGTGACAGCGGTTAGATTGCGCCACCTAAGAACGCGGTGTAAATCAGCATCATTCCTCAGACCTCTTTTTAGTATGGCGACAGTAAACTGCTCCGTTAAACTCAGTTCCACCACGTTCTTAAAACCGCCAACCACCAGATTTTGGGGTGAACCGTCGGTGTTTTGACATTCATCACTAAACCACAACACAGCAATTTTTAAGATTCGAATGAATAGAACATTTTTTCACGGGCTCACAAATGAAGGGTCAAAACAGCGACGGGTTCACTTGATCAGTGTTTAGATTTAAGAACATGTAGATCAAGTTCAATGGAGCGATCACAAACAAACGTAGCGACTCGATGTGATTTTAGGCCGCGTCCTTCAGGCTGCGCGCATCTAGGTGCACCTTAGGACAATTACATCAAAGCCCCCAACCTATATATATATATAATATATATATTATATACTATATATATATATATATATATATAAGAGAGAGAGAGGAGAGAGAGAGAGAGAGAGAGAGAGAGAGAGAGAGAGAGAAAGCTCCCTATCAACTTAAGTTGATATCACCAACCTTCCTTGCCAGCTCATTTATTAAATATAAAAAATCTTTCATATCATGGCAAGGGTTCTAAGCTACTATGATGGCTAAAAGTTTGGTGATAACTTTTTGGCCTATCACGTTAAGTTGACACATTAGTTTTGTTCTCGTGCTGCTCTCTCTCTCTGCTCTATCATATATATATATAAATATATATATATATATATATATATAATATATATATATAAATATATAAATATATATATAATATATATTATTTTTTCTTATAAGTAAAAGTAAGATATTAGGAATCAAAGTTTTCCTTTAAGGCCTGAAGCTTAAGTTGGATGTTTTCATTTTGGTAAAACCATTTGATCTTGTATGAGAGTGTGTGAAAGATGATACTGAGATCTTAAATCAAGAAATCAGGTTCCACTGAAAGGTACCATTTCATCCTTACCATTTAAGTTTTGAAAGAAGACACTAGTAACCTTGGGCTCCGCTGATGCGACTATCATCCATGTATTGGCATGTTCCAGCTTCCATCATGTTTCAGTTTGTTTGTTGTATATTCAGGGTTTTAGCACCTTTGTTATGGTATATATTGGTCCCTCATGATCTGGGATTTGCTACACAAGTTGTTTTACTGGTGAAGCGTTACTTTTCTATGCTCAATGAAATTTATAACTAAGTGGTCATCCAAGTTTAGTCCTATGAGTAAGAAAAGGAAACATGAATGCTTGAGTATGAAATGGTCTTCGATTACTTTTTAGTTACCTTTTCCCTTTTATTTATTTTGTTCGCTACTTCCAGTCCGAGCTTGCATTAACATAGCAGTCTGATTTGGGGGGGGGCCGGGGGGCGGGGGGCTGGAATTTTGGTTCACTGAAAAGAACTGCTTTATATATTATTCTTCACAGCATGGCCATGCCTATTATTGAGCCTGAAGAAGCTTGACCATCAATTGTGGGATATTTTCATTTGTCAAAAAATTTCTAAGCTACTGCTGTTTTGCAGGTATGACTTATTTTATCTGATTCCAGCATTCTCTTTTATTTATGAATCTAATTGCATTTATCTTATAAATTTTTGTGAATGAGTTTTTGGGCATTAGATTCTTGCACATTATGAAGTCATAGACAGATTGAAGGGGTGGAAGGAGGCACTATCCTCCCCCCCCCGCCCAAAAAAAAAACTCACAAAAAAAGGAAAAATAAATGCACCCATAAAACCCTATATTTCAAGTTTAGTAATTCCTTTAACTTAGCATTTGAGCTTCCCAGTCTTGAGCCCAAGACCTAAGCCAGAGCCATTTCAGCCAGGCCCAAAGCCTACTTCATTAAGAAGAATTTGGGTCTGGGTTTGGAACTCAATCCAACCCAATTCCAATAAGATCTCACCTCAAATTATAAATCCCCACTCTCGGATTGGTTCTTCTTTTATGCAAATTTCTGGGAGTTTTTCCCAAACTAAATGCAAATATCAATTTCAAGTCATATTCTCTCATTAACTTCCCCAATTCCAAGAGTTATTTTGCGACTGAGTATTGGACCTTTTTTCTCAATTCTAGAGACAACTGGTGGAGTATTCTCTAAATGCTAAATGTACAATTTCCCCCCTTTCCATTCTCTTATATTTATATTATGTTGCATTCTTTAATCATTAATTTCTATTTCCTTGTCATGTTTATTGTTGTTTTATCTATTATTTAACTACATGTATTGATTTTGATGTAAATGTTTGTTTTACCTACCTGATTATATCAAACATGTTGCGTCGTTTTTAATATGTTGGTTGTTGGCAGTTGATATGTGTGGCTGAAAGTAGTATGGCGGGGGGGGGGTTGATTAATTTACCTTGCATGATTTTGTTTCAGGTTAAAGGACCACGTTCACGATTTTTAGGATTATGCAAACTTTATGTATGTGTTTTTAAAAGTAGTTTTATAGTATCTTTCTTTCATTATCATATTTATATATTATCCCCCCCCCCCCCCCCCCGGCTGGCGGGCGGCCTGTTTATAGTCCCGGTACACCACAAGTGCGGAGTCCGGGTTCTATCAAAACGCCCTGCACGGTGCGGCACATTTTGAACCGCATGATTGGGGTGGGGGCAGTGACGGTATTTCACTGCTCCCTTGATCTATCAAACACCCCACGTGGTGGCGTGTTCTGATAGGATTTGCAGTTCAAGTATTGCTGGTCGAATTTACATCTAAACAGCTTGTACTGATAGTTGATCTACATGCTACAGTTTATCTCTCAAAGGCAGAGGCCAATTCGTGGTAGTGTTTCACAGTTACTATTGGACTACGTGCGGAGGCTTCCTTGCAAGGTTCATTCAGCTTGGACATACTGGTATTCATTTTAATAGCGAAAATCACCATAAGGAAATACATGTGCTCTACTAGTATAATTTGGCAATTTGAAATATCTAAGGTGCATCATTAACCGCCATGTTAACTATGAACATCAAAATTTGAAGTCTTGCTATCGGAAAATTATGTGGCTGTCTTGTGCTTTTTTAGCGAGAGCAACTGTAGTCTTTGACATTACATCTCCAAGAAGTATATTATATTTATAATATGTTAATTCAGACAATTACTTGCTAACATCTTGTTCTTTATAGTACCATTTTGAGTAACTACTGTAAGTTTCTTTTTTGCTTGCTTAAAGATGTATTATGTATCTGTGACCGTAAGTCTCTTTTAGATCTGATGGTAATCCATTCGTTCAACACACTTATTAAAGCTCACTGTGCAGAAGCAAAAGAGTCTTTGTCCAGACAAGCCAACATTTTCTCAAATATTTAGGCTTTTATCCTCTTTCCCATCTGTGTAACCATTCTTCTCTCAGGTATTTGCACCTCCATTCTTGTGATCAAAGCTTTTTGTTGACCTCTCCTATCTTTACCCAAATCCTCCCTCAATACTCAAATCCAAGTCTTTTAAATATATTTTGATGGGTTATGAGACCTGTCAAAACTAAGAATTTTATTTAAGGGCCTTTAACATAAGTGCTCTTGAATAGCGCTCTAGGTGGGGTTTCCTATGTAAAGCAAAATGTGCCATGCAAAGCTCTCAGTTAGGAATGGTTTCTACATGACTCTATGGTAACATGGAGCATAAGTTTATTTCTTTTATTTGACTGACCACTCTGTTAGGAAGGGTTTCTAAATTACACTATGGTAAGATGTAGCATAAGTTTATTTCTTTTATATGATAACCATAAAATGCACCCATTCAAATGTACTTTTCTGCATGCGTAACCCAAAGTTAGACTTAATCGTCATAGTTAATAGTTTTGAATAAGTCTTTGGAACATTCCTTTGTGTTGGCCAAATAGAAACTTCGGTGATATTATCCAATTATACTCCTGGAAGCTACTGTATGTTAGTAAACCTTGATTAAATCCGTAGATTAGATGTTATAGACCAGACAAAATCCTTGTTTTCACAAATTACTGAATTAGCGTGAATCAAAATGTTGGAGAATATCTATAAATTGGCAGTACAGAAAATAGTAACGTGTGCAGAACTGCTGTTGAGTGGTTTGTACGAATCTTTATGTTAATTACTTTCCAGTATTTGACAAATTTGTACTTCCCACATCTCTGCAGACCTCCCTAACTGCAGCTGGTTGTTATCTCTCTCCAGCTCCTCAGTCGAAGGGCAAAAAGATCCTGGTTAGTTCTCATGATTCACCACAGTCATCAACAGCGTCATCATCTCATACACAACCATTTAATAAACAGCCTCTTTTGCCGGGAGAGATAGATCAAATAATTTCTCACCTGAAATCATGTTCTGATAAATATATCCCAGAAGCTCATGATGTACATTTCCTGCATGCAAAATCTCCTGAGGATGTTCTTAACGAAGCTAAAAGGCTCAATCTTATAAGTGAATCAACCTTGTCAACCATGCAATTGTTACAGATGGAAGAACGTAACAAATTTATTTCCAAGCCAGAATGTGAATCCAGTTGTAAATCTTGGCATGAAAAAGGAGTTTCTAGTTCTTCATATATAACACTAAGTCAGGGTGAATCATGTCATTTCATGAGTAGATTTCTTGTCGCATATGAAGTTTGTAGAGGTGCATTAGAAGATGGACTTTATTCAAGCTCGAGCAGTTTGTATCAGGAGTCAGTAGACAACCAGGATCATCTTTGTCAGTTTTGCATGAGTGGTCAAATGAACTCAATTACAATACGCCACATGGTTAATGCTGATTGGTTGTATCTTGCTAAAGTTTCGAATAGACAGTCAAGGCTAGATTTTCAAGATAATACAAATGCTCCAGTAATGAATTTCGAGCAGATTTTGTCAAGGGAAGTCCAGTGTTCAGCTCACATGCGAGTTTCAGCAAAGAAAGCTCTTCAGACTTTGAAGTCCATTCCAGTTTCTGCTAGGAGAGCATTGCCCGTTGTCGTTAATTCTTGTGATTTACTGCTAAGCATACCGGTATGCGTTAATTCTCATTATTGGTTTCATCTCAATCTAGCCTTACGAAAATCTTTATGGCACCATTTTAATTCATTCTAGGATATCACTTGTATTATGTTAGCTTTAAACATTTGTCTGTATACACTTGATGATTGTAGAAACTGGTAAAGCTTCTTGCTACATTTTAATGCAGCAGTCCTATGCTCATGGGACCTCTTTATTCTTCATTTTCAGAGCATTGGCTTTAGCTTCTGCCCTTATCTGCATGTGACTGCTGCATTTAAGCCAAGGGTACCACTTGGTGGAGGTTACAGTTCATACCTTTGAGACAAATTTCTAGCTTCAGTCGAAATTGTAAACAGTAGTTCTTAGAGGAGGCTGCAAGTCAAACTCATATATAGACTGTGGAGGGTAAGGAACCTTTTCCCTTTTATTAGGGTTCCCTTTTATTAGGCTTGTTTGCACTTTAAACCCCAAAAGTTTCACCCTCTTCTAACTTAGATATCCTGAAGTTCTATTGTGACAATTTGATATGGCAATTTGATACCCCAAAGCACTAACTTTGTTCCCCACTGTTGCTAACTCAGCAAACTGAAATTTGGTAAGAAAATTTGCTTTGCATTCACTTTTCTTTGTCAAAAACTAACATCAACCTTTTCGCACTTTGGGTGTCAAATTGTCCAAGTAGAACTTCAGGGTAGTTAAAAAATGTTGAAATTTCAAGGTATTAAAGCGCAAATAACCCCTTTAATTATGAATATCGATTACAAATTTCTTTTTAAGAAAAGGGTGGTTTTATAAACCAGCAATAGTAGAAATTCAAGTTTCTTTATTCTGAATTCTATATCTTATTTAAGAGGTTTCGATGTAATTTTCTTTATCCTCTCTTTAACTTACAAATGGCATGTTGATTGCAGTTTGAGATGAACATTCCCGAGGACTTTCGATATCTTGGATGTGATCAGCTGCCAAATGATAACCTTGTGGAATATATGATTTATTTGTCTTCAATGATGTGATTACAGACAAGTACATGTAAAATATATGCGGTTTTATTGGCAATATGCTGTTGAAATATATGTGATCTATTTATCTGTTGTTATTTTCAATTTCAAATTTGTTAAACTTTGTCAAAAATCGTCAGTATAATTATTTGCTTATATTAAAGTTTCAGTTAAGCTTAAAACTTGCTTCTGCAATAATCTGACACTGTTCCACCTTAGGCGTCAGTGAATAGATTAACGTATTAAGCAGTTCATATTAATTTATGTGTTTTTAAGTGATCTGACCAGCCTTTGGGTATGTGAATAAGGACGTTGATGACACTGGAGTCTATGTTCACTCCCCTACGATGGAACTTATCTCTCCATTGATTATTAAGAGTACTTGGATTGCTTCTTTCATGAATCAATCAATACTCATTATTACAAGCTTTATACCCGTATAGACGTCTCCTACAATTTTTCCCCTCCTATTGCACTTGGTCTTATAAAGAAATTGTAGAATACAAACATCAATCCCTCGTTTGTAATATCCTTCGTTTTCTGTAATGTTCTAAATTTTTTTTAAAAAAGGCACCTCACTTAATAATAAGTGTGTGAATAATTTTTAGTTCAAATTAGATTAAGTGAGTGAATAATTTTTATTTCAAGTTAGGGAGAGACATGTGACTTTTCTTTAATATGTAAGACTACCTCACTTAATATGTGAATAATTTTTATTTCAAATTTGGGAGGGACATGTGACTTTTCTTTGAAATGTAAGACCAAGGGAGCAGGATTTAAGCGTATGTTAAAGTGGGTTTGTATGACTTTGTTATTGAAATTTTGTTTCCCTTTCTGACATTTTAAATTATAATTTGAAACCATCTCGTTTTCTTACCTTTTGTGGACTTTGATGAGATTTGTGTTGGAAAAGATTTCACAGTTTTGATGATTTCTTTTACTATTGTTTGCAAGAGTTTTGGAATCTCAAAGTTTAATTAAGGCTTGATTTGGTAAGGGGTAATTGGGGAGAAGATAACGCAAACTAAGGTGCAATGAATGATATATCTTTTGCGCTTCTTGTTTGATTGGAAGGAGAGAGAGAGAGAGAGAGAGAGAATGCATGACCCTTTCTTGTTTAGTTGAGGAGATAGAAAGGGAATGTAGGATGATGAATTAATTGAAGTACAATAGTATCCTTTTGTGGAAAAATGCAAAACATGCGAGGATACAAAAGTCTTCTACAAGAAAATTGTCATTCTCTTCACCTTGTTCCTCCAAATCCCTCCAAATTAGAGGTATTTTCTCTCTTCATCTTTTTAGTTTATTTTGTATCTTCTCTCTCTTCACATCGCTTTACTTTAGCTCGTCTTCCTCTCTTAATATCGTCTACCAAAGAATACTTTTGATTTTGTTCCTCCTCTTACTCTATTTTCTCTCCAACCAAGCCAAGTCTAAGTTTTTTTAAATAAGGGATAAAATATGAAGAGGAACAAGATGACAGTGTTAAGTCGTTTGACCCACTTTCGATTACCTAAGGGGTTTTTTGGATTGGGAGTAATGAGAGGTAGAGGAAGTTAGGGGCTCTTTATCTTTGTTTGGAAATTAGTTTATGCTAGGTAACGGGGAAGGTAAAATAAAGTAGGGGAAAAAAACTAAGTTTTTGTTCCACTCTCATTTGGGGCGTTAAGAGAACTTATAATGAAAGTTAATTATGTAAGTTTACATAGAGTCCCTTCCATTTTACGCTTTGTCTGTCCCTTCTACTTTACTCTTTATCTAACTTTTAATAATAAAAGACTCAATAGCATGCAAAGGTTATATATGTAAGTTTACATAGAGTCCCTTTCATTTCCTTCATTTTATTGAACTTCCCAAAAGTAGGGCTGTCCAAAAAGCCCGCCGGCCCGGCCTGGGGTTGGCCCGGAAACTCGGGTCAGGGCTCAGGCCCGGGCCTTCTCGACAACGATCGGCTCGGGCCCGGCTCGGGCCCGGCTCGGTACAGTGCC